AAAGGATGTTATGTGGATGCATTCTCATCTACCTGCCAGCTGTGCTCGAGTGTCTGACCACTGAGATCCTGGAACTAGCAGAAAACACGACTCATGACAGCGGAAAGACAGGATCGTCCCTCAGCACCTACAGTTGGCTGTCCGCAGTGACGAGGAGCTTGGCAGACTGCTGGGAGGAGTGGCCATCGCTCTGGGAGGAGTTCTGCCCAGCATTCAGGCGGTCCTACAGTCCAGGGGAACCGAGAGGCCAGCTGAGTCTGGGTGGACGGATCGGACGGCATCTGCAGCCAGTTTCTTAGGATCCACTGAGGGATGGACCTTTACAAGAGCCATCAGCATCTATAACATCTCTTAATGAAATGAAGATAACGAGTTACAACAACAAAATAATTTCCCTTTGGGATTAATAAAGTATTATTGAATTGAATTGAATTGAATTGAATTGAATTGAATTGAATTGAATCTGGTTGCACTCAGAATATATACTGGGGGTGAATCTCCTCTAATGCCACAGCAAATGTTCAAGTCCAAAAGTCAAGCGATAGCACCGACTCACGCAAGGAAGTGAAGAATCCCACAAAAGTTGGGAAACACTTTGGAGTCCCTTGTGAATAACCACAAGTTGCATTCCAGAGAGATCCCACCTTTAACCATTGACACTCAGGCAGGTTTTATAGTCAGCCAATTTAAGAATCACCCATTATTCTTTTTGCCTTGTTTTAGCAAGATAGTTGACTGCATGCTTTTGAGTTGTGGGAAGAAGTAGAAACATTAGGAGAAAATCCACAAACATTCAAACATTCTTGTTATTTTAATTTTTAAATTTTTTTTTATTTAGCTAGTTCTTCTCATCCTGAACATTTCATTGCATTGTTGACCTTGTGGGCAGCACAGTGGTGCAGTTGGGAGAGCTGTTGCCTCTCAGTAAGCAGGTCACCCCAGTTCAAATCCCAGCCTGGGGGCCTTTCTGGGTGGAGTTTGCATGTTCTCTCCGTGCATGCGTGGGTTTTCTCTGGGTACTCCGGTTTCCTCCCACAGACCAAAAACATGCATGTTAGGATGATTGGCAACTCTACATTGTCTCTAGTTGTGAGTGAGAGACTGAATGGTTGTTTGTCTCTATGTGTCCCTGTGATGGACTGGAGACCTGTCCAGGGTGTACCCCGCCTTTCACACTGTGATAGCTGGACATGGGCAGCAGTGACCTCCACGACCCGAAAAAAGGAAGAAGCGGGTAAAAGATGATGGATGGATGTTGACCTTGTGTTAACCTGCATATGACAATAATTCAAATTCAATTCAAATTCAAAAATACTTTATTAATCCTAGAGGGAAATTAAGTGTTGTCATAGCTCATCATCCTGGTTTCATTCAAGAGTTTTTATAGATGCTGATAGCTGTGGGCAGGAAGAATGTCCTGCAGTGAAGTCGAAGAATCTGGCCACAGATACCGATCCGTCCACTCAGATCCAGCTTGCTGTCAGATCTGGCGGGCCTCTAGGTCCTCCTGGGCAGCAGGATTGCCCGAATGCCAGACAGAATTCCTCCCTGAGTGATGGTCACTCCTCCTAGCAGTTTGCAGAGCTCCTCACGAGCCGAGTTTCTCACCAGCTCCAGGATCTCGGTGGTCAGATACTCGAGCACCGCTGCCAGGTTGACGGGAATTTGTCCACGGCACCTCCTTTTCAACTCATGTGGGATTTGGGGCTGTAGATGAGATATTTTAGCTTTTGAGATCTTAATCAGCTGCTCCTTGTTGTTAAAAAAAAACACCTTGTTGCCATGGTTACGCATCATAACAAATGTCCAAAAGTAAAAAGATTTCAGTAAAAAAAAATCCTTCCAGCTGCACAGCATCCGATACCAGAGTAAATCATCATCATAAAAAAGCAAGATACATCCAGAAAAAAGAGGAATTAAAGTTTTCATAAGCAGCAAATCAGAATGAATGTAACAGAGCTGCTCCAACATGCAGCCACCTTGAGCAGCGCAATTCTAGAACTCAAAAACAACATGAACTCTACATTAGAAGGGCCCACAGAGTCGAAATGTAAATTAGAGAACATAAATTCTAACACCTCACCACCATGCCTTATCTGTGATTGATACCTTACTAGCTAAGTACAAACAAAAGGGAATTAATAATAATAATAATAATAATAATAATAATAATAATAATAATAATAATAATAATAATAATAATAATAATAATAAAACTCTGGATATCCCTTTAAAACTTGACAGTCAATAAGTGCATCACTTGTAGTAATTGTTTTAATTTTTCCTTTTTCACAATGTAAAAACACACACACACAATCTCAACCACTTTGGGCTTTGTGTATGGAAAAGTAACTGATTCTATTGTGGACTGAAACAGAAGAAGCTAATTTGTAAAAAATAAAATAAAATTATCTTATTAGCATAAGATATAGCATTAGCATCCTTTGGGTATTTTTAGATCAGCTGGAAGCTTTTCAGTGAGTTACTGAAACAACCCGATTATAAGGGATTTCAGTCGTTCAGCCTGGAAGTAACGTATTCAAAGAGCGGTCGAACAAAACGGCTTTTAGATGAAGATAAAGTGTAGCAAGTGATTGTGTTAGATCTTAGTGGCTCATGAGGGGAGGGAAACTAATAAGCTAAATCTTAACATGTCAAACCTAATAAAACATCCTCAGACTCATCACCCAAAGGAGCACAATGAATTCACTTTAATAAGAAAAGCAAGACAACTGGGGCTGGAGCACTCCACGTACAAGGAAGCACAGTTATGTAACAATTAAACTATAAATACAGCAAATATAGCAGATGAACACAAACATCAAAATCCAGAAACGCCGTTGTTTCAAGGAAACGAGCACAGTGTTTAGTTTTTGATACCTTTAAGTGAAGTCTAAAAAAAACTCATTCAGATACAATAGATGTGATTTGTTTTGTTTTTGCAGTCACCTATTCGTGTGCACTCATCAACCATGTGGGATAGTTTGTCTTTAATTGTCACCAGGATCAATGATGACAGTATTAAATGAGAGGTTTTATTAAAAGCAGAGCAGAACAGCTGATTTATGCTGAACATCTGACGGCGTTGAACCCCGTCCTTCATGACTCCTCTGATGTTGGCTCGTGACAGCTGGTGGGAGCCTGGATTCATCTCGCTGGTTCTGGACACAGGATTTGGACATGCCTCCCTGTATCCTCTTTTTTTCCTAACAGTTGAAGACAGATCTTCTCACTATGGAAATGTGCTTGCAGGCTTTGATGGTTTATTCACGTCATCCTTTCAAAGGATGTGTCCTGTTCTTCCTCTTCCTCTTCGTGCCCCCACTCCCCTCCATCTTCTTTCTAACTCTCCACCCCCTCAACGCCCGCTCTGATCGATCCAGCCATGTCTCCCGGTCCCACATGTCATCTTTTTTTTTTCCTTTGACACAGCTCTGCTCCCTCTACTGCTTGGTATTCTGGACCGGGAATGCATGCACCATCTCAGATCCATCAGATCCGATAGTAATGCTGCGCCACGGCTCTCAAAAATTGCAAGATGTGAATGTAAAAAACGGTGTGTTTGTATAGCGTGTTGACAGGGTAACTGGTGTACAAATCAATGACTTGACTAAATCCTTCCAGGACCAACACACTGAGGTGACAGGTAAAAAAATGAGGGAAAAGTGACAAGGCGGGAAAACACTTTCAATTTTTTTTATATAAACTTGTATATTTTTTTTCTGTTTATAGTTTCCTACATTTCTCTACAATCAAACTACTTCAGCTGCTTTCACTATTTATTAAAACATTTGTCTCAATCAAGAATAACGTGCCTTGACTTTTAGTATTTATAGCTTTTATGTATTTTGAATTGGCTCATTTTGCATTGATTGTTTTTCTGGGTATATTTTGAGTTTGGATTAACGATTTGTAGCCATTTATAACTACCGCACTTGCTGCTGTACATGTCGCACCGCCGTATAAGTCACATCAGTCCAAATATGTTTAATAAATTGGGGAAAAAAATACAAGTCGCTTCCCCGTATTCATCGCATCTATTATGTGTCACCGCTGACCACCCGGAAACGTGGGCTGGTGTGCCAAAAATCGATTGGCTGCCAGATGGCTGCTGCGGGAGCATGCACGGGAAGACTTTAACAAGAATTTAACACTTAAAAAACAATTATTTGTTTACTCAACATTGTAGCAAATGTATTTCTGTTTAACTTTTCCTTAATAAAAGGACTTTACCATCAAATCAGATGCATTTCAAAAGCCGATTCGCAGATGCGGGAGCTTGCATGGGAGGACTCGCTGTGCATTTCTTCAAAAAATTTACCAATATAACAACCTAAAAACAATTATTTGGTTGCTCAACATTATAGTAAAGGTGTGTCTCAGTTGAACTTTTACTTAATAAATGCACTTTAATGGTCAAGTCAGCTGCATTTTGCCTGAACGGTGCAATGAAATGCAGCTGACTTGACGTTTGCTCCAGGAGTTCTGGAGCGAGACGTAGGTGGCTTTGTATGGCAAGTCAAGTGTCTCCTTAATAGCCACTTTCACCTATTAATGAGACATTTGGCTTGCCATATTAGTCAAGCACCCTCTAATGGCTGAAAATGGTAGTGATCAATATTTCATATGTCAGAACGAATGAAATCGTCAAATCTCAGCCAAAAATCGGGTTATAAATATGGAAAAAAAGCCAAATAAATTGCTTTGCTGTATAAGTCGCAGGGCATGCTAATTTGCAAAAAGCTGTGACTTATACAGTGAGAAACACGGTAATAGTTTTTCTTTTTCTTACAGCAGTATCCAGCTTTTCATGTACATATTTTTCTATTAATTCACTCATTTTATGCTCATCAACATGCTTATTGTGTCTTTCTTTACATTTGGAAACAGCAGAGAAGCAAGTAGCGATCATATTGATGTTTTGGCTTTATTCGTGTTTTACCCCCCTGCCTCTGCTGTCCCTCCTCAAAAGTCTCTCTGTCCTCGGTGTGATCTCCCCCATGGCTTCCCTCTACAGCAGTGCGTTGCCGTGGTAATTACCAGTTGTCTTAAACAGACAGATGGAATAAGGGAGATTGACGGGCAATTTTCCCAGTGTCTGTTTCCCCCATGTATGTGCATGCAGCTCCTTTTTGCATGTGTGCTCTGAGTGCACGCTTCCCTACTTCTTCCCGTTTCTCTCCCCCTCTCATGTACTTTGCTGCGACTTTGTATGCGGGCACAGCTGATGTGTGTGGTGGGAGTGTGTGTGTGTGTGTGTGAAAGGCAGACAGGAGGAATTACCTGACAGGATGTGTTAGTTGAGGATGGGAGTGCGACAGTCTCATCTCCTTGCTTTGGTGTTGGCCATTTTAGTTGCCAGGTGTCACTCTGGGGCCTCTGCAGGGCCCCAGGAGGAATCGCCTCTGTCTCTTTTTTCTCCCACAATGCATCACACCAAGCAACATAACTAAGAGCAAAGCTGTTTCTGCCCTGAAACAGTTACACAGCTGAAGATTACAAGAAATTAAAGGCTTGGCATTCCTTGAGGAAATGGGATGTTGTTTGCCACCTTTTCCTGCCATCTTGATGAAAAGGAGCAGAGCTGTAGCTATTTTCGTTGAGCCTCATGCATTATTGTGAGATTGTGCGAGATTCAGCAAATTCTAGCTCAATTTCTGTAAAACTGGCTGAGTTGTAGCCATTTTTGTGTTAGCTTATGCTGATTAGTTATGATGAGTCTAACAGCTGTTATATAAGTTGGCTTCATGTCTGTAATGTCCAATTAATAATTTTCTTTCAGGCTGGCATGATCAAGACGGACCAGGAGGAGTTTTTTATTGAGCCGTTGGAAAGGGGCGACGGAGTGATAGAAAAAGAGGAGGAGGAGGCGGGAGGAGGCAGGACGCACATCGTCTATCGCTCGTCAGCTGTTAAGAAAGTGCCCATCAGCAGCGCAGCGGAGGACTACCACTCCAGAGGTTGGTCTGTGGTTCCTATAGTGCTGTCCTCCACGTTTAATACACCCTTGACTGAGCGCTCTCGATGCACACTTCAGCACTGTGCTCTTATTTCTACATTCCCTGAGGTAGACACGTGACACAGCTCTAAAACACAGAACTTGAGCCAAGTTGCAGATCATTTATGCTCAATTTGAACAAACACAAACAAATCTTCATGCAGACTTACGTTTGGCAGCAGATCCTAAAACTGATTGTGCACCTAAATCAACTACTGTGTTTACTTGAATAAAAACCAAGAATAATTCAAAACACAACAGTTTTATAAAAGCCTGGGTAACCACTGACATAAACACGTATTATTGAGCTCTGATGCTGTTTGATTAATTTCTCCTGAACTGGTTTAGACCAGTTCAGTTGGATGGAGCAGCTGGTATGCACACACACATTTTGTAATAAAAGCCCTGCTGAAAAGAGAAGTGTTTTTGTTCGGTCCAATACGAAGGAGGTGTTAATTAAACACAGTTCAGGTACAGTATTTTTGTTAACGTTGGATCATGAGAAGGGAATTGTTCAGATAATTTAAAGTAGAGTTAACAATTAATATCTCACCTCTTTCCATGAGGTCATTGAGGAGAAACAAGATTATTTTGGATCAGACTAAGCAAATGTTACTTTAAGCAGTACAGGTCCTGATACATGCTCATTAATCCAGGTAGATACATCTAACAAGGTTGATAAAGGTCTTCTGGACAGATTCTCCTTTGTTGAAACATTTAGTCTTTTCCAGCTGACTTGAGACCAGAAGGTTGCAGGTTCATCTCCCTGCCATGCCCACATGTCGTGGTGTCCTTGAGCAAAACACCTAATCCCTAACTGCTCCCTAGGCACTTACAAATCTGCCTGCTGCTCCATGTAGATGTATCTCACATGTGATCAGTTACAGAGCACTTTCTCTCACGTTCATCTGGAAGAAAACCTTCTTTCTACCAAGCCAAGCTGCCCCCAAGTTTTTCTTACTCTTTCCTTAGGAAACACCATGAGAAAAAGTTTGAATGGTTGCTTTAATGCCTGAATTCCACAAACACTCCATTTGCAATGATACTGTAAACTAGTAGTTGCTCGCTATTTCGTTGTTTCCCGCCACGGAGCAAGGAGGTGGAATTGAATATTACCTGTGTCCATCCATCTGTCCGTGCATGTAGTGAGAGGATAGCTTGAAAAATAAGTGAGGTACCAAGTTTGGGGTGTGTCTGCATCGAGGCGTAAGAAAAGTTCCTTTCAAAAACTGTATTGCCATATCAAAGTCCAAGATAGCAGCTGCCTTTTACACATAAAACAGTATATATTTTTATATTTATTTATTTATTTATTTATATACAGTAAATACTGTATATAGTTGTCCCTCACTCTATTGCAGTTCATTTCTTGAGGCCTCACTGCAATGTAGTTTTAAAAATATATATACTGCATATCGATACAGATGTGTGCTGACCCCCACCAGTCTTTTTCTTTTAATTTTTTTTTACTTATTTAACACACTCTGTGTCTTGTTGATTTTTCGGGTTCTCCCCTGACTTCATTACAGGGAAAGGTTAATAAGAGAGTGGGAAAGGTTTGTAGGAGTGTGGGAAGGATTTATAAAGCCTTAAATATATATAATGCCGCCACTTCGCAGATTTTCACCTATTGCAGAGGTCTCTGGAAAGTAACCCATGGAAAATGTGAGGGATCACTCTATATGTAAACTTGCCACATTGTTTGAGGGAACTATACTTTCGAGTTTTCTGTTTCTTAAAAGTATTGTTTTTTTGTTTTTGTTTTTCAAATCATTGGTATTACTGATAAGGTGGCTGAAGATTAATTCATAGTGACCGGCCACCATTGGAGAGAACAAGGTTGATGTACAGAGTTGTAGCAACTACAGGTTAATTAAGTTGAGCCGCACAATGAAGATCTGGGAGAGAGTTGTGGAAGCTAGACTTAGACGAAAGGTGACTGTGAGCAGTAGTATGGTTTCATGCCATGAAAGAGCACCACAGATGCCATCTTTGCTTTGAGAATGCTGATGGAGAAGTACAGAGAGGGTCAGAAAGAACTCCATTGTGTCTTTGTAGATTTAGAAACAAGCATATGACAGGGTGCCAAGGGAGGAGGTGTGGTATTGCACGAGGAAATCTGTAGTGGCAGAGAAGTATGTTAGACTGGTACAGGTCATGTATGAGGACAGCAGGACAGTGGTGAGATGTGCTGTAGGAGTGACAGATAGCTTCAAGGTGGAGGTGGGAGTGCATCAAGGATCAGCTCTGAGCCCCTTCTTGTTTGCTCTGGTGATGGACCGACTAACCGATGAGGTCAGACAGGAATCCCCATGGATTATGATGTTTGCAGATGACATTGTGATCTATGGTGAGAACAGGGAACAGGTGGAAGAGAACTTGGAGAGGTAGAGGTATGCACTTGAAAGAAGAGGGATGAAAGTCAGCCGTAGTAAGACAGAGTACGTGTGTGAATGAGAGGGAGGCTGGTGGAACAGTGAGGCTACAAGGAGCAGAGGTCACAAAGGTGCAGGACTTCAAGTACTTGGGGTTCACTGTCCAGGAAAATGGGGAATGTGGTAAAGAGGTGAAAAAGAGAGTCCAGGCAGGATGCAGTGGATGGAGAAAAGTTTCAGGAGTGATTTGTGACAAAAGGGTGTCAGCAAAGGTAAAAAGAAAAGTTTGCAAGACAGTGGTGAGACCAGCCATGTTGTATGGTCTGGAGATAGTTGTATTGACAAAAAGGCAGGAGAAAGAACTGGAAGTGACAGAAATCAAGATGCTAAGGTTCTCCTTAGCAGTGACAAGTATGGATAAGATTAGGAATGAGATCATCAGAGGTACAGCACAGGTTGAACAACTGGGAGATAAAGTTAGAGAGACCAAACTCAGATGGTTTGGACATGTCCAGAGGAGGGACAGTGGGTATATTTGTAGAAGGATGTTAGAAATGCAGCTGCCTGGAAAAGACAAAAAGAAGATATATGGATACAGTTAGGGAGGACATGGAGGTAGTTGGAGTGAGGACATAGGATGCAGAGGACAGAGTGAGATAGAAGATGATTTGCTGTGGCGACCCCTGAAGAGGGACAAGCCAAAAGAAGAAGAAGAAGAATACCGGTCACCATTGGCCACCCCCTTGCTCCACCATTGCACCTGGTGGTAAATAAAATTGCTCCCTTTGCTCATCAGAATTTGTCACTCTGCGCCGTCTCGGCCAAGAATGAAAAAAAACTATTGTTGTTCTTATAAATAGAAAGGCAACTTTATTATTCCTCAGTGAGGAAATTAGGTTGTTACAGCAATATATGTACACAGTAGCTCCCACCCACTTAAATATCTTGCACCATTCACCATTAGGGTATTCTTACATTCTCTGTTCAATTCCAGTCCAGAAAAACACTCCTCTCGAAAACTACAAACTTTCACTATTCAAATCGTCAGCGATGGGGGACGTTGGCGTACCTCTTGTTCATCCAGCATCTTGGTGTACAGTGTTGTGGAAATGAACAACAAAGTGAAATCACTTTTTTTCTGCATCATCAGAAATAAAGTAACTTTTGTTTGGCCAGCATGCATTCACAAACATATCTAAAAACAAACACCACAAACCAGATTTAGGTTTATGGTCTCTAGAATCAAGGTATTGTATAAAATGGTGAGCAGTCATTTTCTTAGAAGCAATGGGAATCAAAATTTAAAACCTATCACTAACAAAAAGTCTGCTTTTATTAAGATATTGGTGCCCTAAGAAGTTAAATTAAATCTCACTTCAGCCTTTAATGAAGACATCGCACTCTTCCACCTTGTTTTTGTCAAACCACAACATTCAAAGACAGCGTGTCATCTGCTGCTTTCAAAAGGATTAGACCAGCGCAGAGTTGGATGCCTCCCGCTGTCAGTGCACTAATGTTCAATCAAGAATGGTGTGACATATGGAGCGACACATGTTTTATTGGTAATAACACCTTCTGTAACTGTAATAAAACAACATACTGCCTTGGTTGCCTTAATGATTTACAGTATACACTTAGTTTCTACTCATTTATTGCTCTGATTTTTTTAAAGTTTAAAATCAAGAAACAAAAAAAAAAGAGAAATAGTTTGGCACGTCATTTCAAGAATTAAAGAGGATGGCATATGGATTCAGCGGGGTATTTAGATATGTTTATTTTGCAGATTGAGACCGGGCAGATCAGAACTGGGTTAGGAGACGTTTTAGTTGATCTGATCTGTTTGATTTTGGAAAGATTAGGGAACCTTGGTGCATGAGATCATAGTGTGCTCTGATGAAAAACTGTGCCAAGATGATATAAATATTGTTAATGTTGGACATGCAGATGCATTCCTTATTGGTGCTTCACGTATTTTTTTTTTGTCTGTGAGTGTATTTTTACATTTTTCTACAAGTTTATTTGACATAAAAGTACCTTTATGTACCTGAGAGTTATAGACCGATCAGTGTATAACATCAGATCCTCATCAGAATTTCTCATCAGAAAAAAGAAGAGGCAAAAGTACCACGTCATTGATGTGCCTGTGACATGTATACCATTCAAATACAGCGGGAGAGAACATTGGAATATTTAAGAAATTTGTCATAACACACACAGTTTTACTCATTTGGTCACATAAATTGCATATTTGCTTTTGACTTTGGTGCAGTCATGATGAAACAGGAAGTGACATCAAAGGGGAACTCTTCTTTTGTCTTTGTTTATTGAAACAATATTATTTGAACTCTGGCTTTTCTTTGTCTCTCACTGGTAGTGACTCAAAATACTCTAAAGAAACATCAAATTCTCCTCTACTCTGTGTAACAATGCCCTGTTTACACGCAGGCATCATCACTTCCTGTTACGGTGCATGTGAATATCTCCACAACTGTTCATCTCAGTGGCATGAAGTTTTATTTAATTTTTTTGCAAGATATTATCTGTCCAAAAACACGTTCATATTTTTTACAAAAATTGGATGGTATAG